CCCAGGCCCCCACACCCACAAAGAAAAACATTTTTCAAAGGTCCATGATGGTCAGACTGAATTGTGTGTCATCACTGTTGGGGCACTGGTTTGGGAAAATAGGGAGGATAGTACACAGGTAGGGGAAAGACACAGGAAGAGAAGTCTTCCCAGCGAGCATGCCTACCTTCACCTCTGGCCTTCCTCACACTCCATGTGGTTTGTCAAGACTTAAGCTTTTTTTTTTTTTTCCAAAGGGTAAATTGGGGCTAAAGAAAAAGATCCTATCATAGAAGCTTCCCCACCTTACCTGGGGAATGCAGAGGGAATGGGGCTGGGGATGAGTAGAATGGGAGCCTGGGCTGGGCAGGGCAGGTTCCCAGAGTCCTGTCCGTCAGCAGGATGAGACCAACAGGGGAACTCTGCTCAAACAGTCATTCCAGCTGTGATGAGACCACTTCCTCCCTCCAGAAAAGTACAAGAAGACTCAAAGGTTTGCACAGCAAGAAGGAAGAGGGGTAACTGCAGCTACCAGCATCTACTGCCCTCACCCATCCTGGCCTGGGCCCAGCCACTAGGAGTGGCCAACACAAAGCAATCAGTGGCCAGCTCTAGTTTACCAACTGACCCGGTCATCTCTCCCATTGCTTAAAACATGCAGCTTCTCCAAAGCACTTCTTCCCCAATTACCATGTTCACACATCCTCCTCCCAAAAACAACCAATATCCCAAATAACATATATCCACACCCTTCCTCTTTCCTTGCTCCAGATATTTGGGTAACCCAGCTCTCCATGTCAGACTGTAAATGGCCTGAGGACAATCCTTTGTAACCACCTAAGATCTTAAAACACAACGAGGAAGGAAGGAGATAATAGGATGAGATTGTTGGCACTACTGGGCTATATTCAAGAACTGAGAGCTTTTTGCTTCATCTTCTACCCTGTGAAGAAGCCTCAAGTCTGTGGCATGCCCAGCTATCTAGACAGCAGGTGTTCTATGCTTGCTGCCTAGATCTGAAGCTGGCTTGCAATGGGCAGGGCCCTGGTCTCCTCTCAGGGATTCAGACGAAGGAACTGCTTAGCCTGAACCATAACTGCAGCTGCTGACCTCACTGCAAGGCATGGCCTGGGAATGCCAGGGCTGCTCGCTCTGGGTGGAGGGAGGTTAGGCAAGTAGGACAGTAGTAGTGAGTGCCCGCCAGTGAGGGAGGATGAAGCAGAAAACTACTGCATTGGTATGACTAGGAGAGAAAGGGCAGGGGTAGGAACAGCCCCACCCCCGGCTTAAGGCAACTGGGAAAAAGTTCTGGCATTAGTCTTTTTTTTTTTTTGACATGGAGTCTCGCTTTGTTGCCAGGCTGGAGTACAGTGGCATGATCTCGGTTTACTGCAACCTCTGCCTCCCGGGTTCAAGCGATTCTCCTGTCTCAGCCTCCCAAGTAGTTGGGACTACAGGTGTGAGCCACCATGCCCAGCTAATTTTTGTATTTTTAGTAGAGATTTTTAGTAGACTCAAAGGAATCTCAAGTCCTGTTCCTCCAGGAAGCCCTCCTTGACTACAAACATATCTGGACTAAGCACTCCCATCAAAAGACAAAGTTGTGT